CTTCATGAATGGCACTTGATGATAACAACTAATCACCACAAGGTCCTGAGTTGAGTTGAGTCAAGAATTTACATCACAGCACTCAGGGCATTCCCATGCGTGCTCTGTCCTCATCTTCAGCAGTCCTTTGTTTGTCTATTGTAACTGGTCCTGTAATGATGACAGATACATTTGTGTTTTCCCAACCTTTACATACGGCAAGTACAGTTTACAATTATCAAGTAATATGATTACTTATGTGAAGGTTTGAAGGTTACAACGAATCAACATCATGGCACACAGGTAGTAACCCATAAGTGCTCCGTTCTTCTTCTAATTGAAGTCTGAGTCCAAAGAAGCTCAGCCTGTGCACTGTGCTGAGTTCTTTTGGCAGTTGTTAATTGAAAAGAGTAGCCTAACGGCACTGCCTGAGCCAAAAATTTGGATGGAGTTAAAAATCTACCCAAAATATTTTAGGATCTTCACAAGGATCTGTGAAATAAATGGAATCTGAGTACAATTAATAGAAGCAAACACTTTTCAACACTTAAATGTGCAGTTGATTCAAGTCAATTATATGTGATCATATTACATTAAAAAAAATACTATGGGGGGGGGGGGGGGGGGGGGGGGGGGGGGTCGACTAATTAGACATGTTTCCCTCAAAGTGGAAATGTGCCTGCCTGAGAGGCAAGAAACCAACAGTCTGATTAAATATAAGCCAGATCTGTAAAACGGATGCACCAGCATGGCACAAAGCCAAAATGCTGAAACAGACGAACAACAAAGACTTTTCTTCGTAGTTTACAGCTGGTGTAAGCAAACAACAAAACATACAAAGATGACATCAAAAATATGAAATTAACAAACATGAGAGAATGAGTTTATATAACAGATGCCTGTGAATGAAGCAAGGCATCAAAGTTGACCATCTTTAGGACAAGTAATGAAATTATTCTCAGTCGCATGGTACAAAGAGATATGGGTTAAGTGTTATATTCCTAGAAGGACCCAAAGTGTGGGAAATCTTCTTTAACAGCTAACCTTGAACTGAGTGGGTTCTTGATCTTTTCTGTATCTCCCTGCCAGTGGTTTTCTGATGTGAAGGCTACTGACTTCTACAAACGTTTTGGTACGATGCACGTCCTCCGCTGATCCATACAACCTGGCTTCCACCAGAATAGTAACTGGTCAGACATGGGTCTACTGATGTAGAGAGCATGACTGCTACATATGTTCAGTATTCTGGGCTGCAGGTCCAAGATGCAAAGTTCTCAATCTTCACCAAGGTACAAAGTTCAGAATCTCTACTAAGGGGCAAAGTAATGGGTCTCCACCAAAATGCAAAGTTCTGAGTCTACACCAAAATGGTAAAGTATACCGGTGGGAAAAAAACAATCAGCTATACATGTACCAGCAACTGACAATCCAATTTTAAAAATGATTTTTAAGTCACTCTGTTCCAAAATATAAGTGATCAAATGTAATTGTTTTTTACTGGCTCACAAATGAATCAAAGCATGTATACGGCTTTTTTACTGAGACACCACTAATGGTTCCCTGGAGTTTGAAAAACAAAAAATACTAAAAGAAACAAACCAAATAATGCTACAGCAAACCAAACAGGATGGTCCAGATATTCTGCATTATGAGTCTGAATGTTTTAAGAGCTGTATCTAACTCTTTCACAGACACACAAAATGTTTCACATCTCATGTCAATATGGAAAACAAAAAATTATTTTTTTAAGTTAGCTGCGCATCTTTTACATGTCATCGCATGCGAACCCTAGCCTTTGGCTGGCAGTTTATGATTTCTCTTTTTCTTTTGCCACTATTTGCTTTGTGCAAACAACAGTTTAACAGATGATAGTGTGTGATGGCTTTCCCTATTTTCTGTGTAAACGGTCAAGTACAGTGCTATTTTCCATGCCCTCAGCGGTATTGGGTATATAGTGCTGGAGCACGACCAGCTCCAGCTGACGGGCCGTGCTGATGATGTCACCGGGTTGGGCTAATGATGCGTTAGCGCAGCGGCTCTCAAACAAGAAATAAATTATTTTCGAAAGTGGCGAGGAAAGACAACATAAATTTTAACTTTTAAGGGCTTACAGGCCTACTTTAATAACTTCCCAATTTTAGGCCGACTTTTCTTGATTACTGCCACGGCACTCCTGGCAGACGCTCATAGCACCCCAGGTTGCCTCAGCACCCAGTTTGAGAACCGCTGAATTAACACATGGTTAGTCCAACCTGGTGACGTCAGCAGCATGGCCCGTCAGCTGGAGCGGGTCGTGGCTAGACTAAAATTGTATAAAATCAAAAAGCACTCAGTGGGTGATGTGGTCAACACCTCCCTGGCCACCTTTACTTCCCAGGACCTTGCCTGGTACCCATTTTAGGCTCAGCTTATCTGGGAGCCAAGGTTGCTCATAGGCAAGCATCTAGCTGCGACACCACAGCAGCTGCCACTTTTCTATGCAGGGCAGTCTTTCGGTAACATTTAAATCCACTGACAGTTTGTCGGCCCGGCTGCAGCTTCATCATTAACATGAATTACTCTCAATTTTCTGCTCACTAATTTGCTACTGCTTTCTGAATGTTTTACGTTCAAACCAGTGTCAAAATACAAGCAAAGCGGTCTGTTGTCTGCAGCTGAATATACTAGGTACTATTTAACTACATTTATACCCCCTAAGCCAGAGAACAATTGCCTAGAGAAGCCACTAACAAATGCTGGGGTTAATTTTCTATGTTAAAAAAGTTAGTTGCGTATCCTTTACAGGACGCTGCAGAACTGACCTCCAGCATTTGTTGGCTGTTGTGGTTTTACTAGGCAAATTTTACGTTTAGTAGTTTGCCATTGCTTCTGAACAGTCAGCTCTAAAAAATAACATTTATGGGTGGGTTCCTTATAACCGCAGTGACATTTTGAAAGCCAAGTTTTTCTAAAAATTTTCCAACAAGTTTCAGTGATAAAAGTAGTTCAGCATCAAAAACCACACTACAAAAGTTAGACAAGGTGCAAAATCAAGCACTCAAGAGTCATAACAGGCGGGATGAAATCAACACCTATAGCTGTGATGAAGAAGGTGGAGATGACCCAAACACTGACAGAACAAAGAGACACCAAGATACTGATACAAGCAGAAAAGTTTCCTAGCAGGCCTGAACATCCTGTGAAAGAAAGATTCCAAAATCTAGCAATGGGGCGACTAAAAAGAAGCAGTTTCATCCACCAGGCCCAACGACTCTGCAGGCGCACCAGTGGTCTGCCTGCAACTGATAACCCTTTAAATGCTATTCCAGATCAGATCCCTTGGAAAGATGATTATAAGTTGCCAATACACTGGCAGACAGAAGTGAAAAGAGTATTCAACAAGGAAGTGTGCAATGTAACACAGCCATCCTCGATCTACTCTATGATGATGAATACCCCCAGAATTTTTTTTAAATTCATGTATATATGGATGGATCAGCACAAATCGCAACCAGAAATGGGGGAGCAGGAGCGTATATTGAGCATCCAAATAATACCAGATATACAGCCAAAATAACTACAGAAAAGCACTCTCACAACTATGATGCAGAAGTCAAGTCATCAAAAATAGCAGCTGAGAAGCTATTAAATATATGTTGTATTTCACAACTTGTGGTATTCCTAACAGATGCAAGAGCAGTGCTTCAGGCACTCATATCTGGGAAATTACCTGGTATACTAGGCTACCGGTGTATGATAATTATGCAGTGGATACCATCCCACTGTGGAGTTCCTGGAAATGAAAGAGCTGATAAACTAGCTAAGGAAGATGCAAATGAAAAACAACCTGGCATACCAGTCTCTTATTAAAGAAGACGAGAATCATTAAATCAAAGAGAAAGCCACCAAAACTGGCCCACGATGATTATCATTTTATGGACAGACCAGAGCAAGTTATTATTCTATGCCTTAAAACTGGGCACAATCAACTTTGCAGCCACATTTACACGAAATTTTTGGCTATCTTCCGAATAACGGTCCCAAACTATCGAGGCCAAAAATATACCCTAACAGGGCCTCAGTCGCGTGTCAAATGCAAACTTCCGGGGACTATACCGCCACCGCCGAATTGTGAACTTCCGGGGACCATACCGCCACCACCGAGAGTATCTCCCACGCAGCCACGCACGGCGTGGATTAGGGCTAAACTAGATGGCTGGGACTCATGAGCAAATCAAATGAAGGACGCTGCAGGACATGCGGTAGCTGCTGCTCGTGGGTCCCAGCCATCTGGGTCCCAGCCATCTAGTTTAGCCCCAATCCACGCCGCTCGCAGCGGCGTGGGAGATACTCTCTGTGGTGATGGTAGTCGCTGGAAGTGTGCAATTTGAGTCACCGGAAGTCTGCAATTTACAAGTGACTGAGGCCCTGTTTTAGTATTTTTTCGGCCTCGATAATTTGGGACCGTTATTCGGAAGATAGCCAATTTTTGAATCAGTGAATCAACCATGTGCACATGTGGACTGGCACCTTAGACAACAGATAACGTCCTCCAAGACTTCCTAATACTACATATCCAGACAAAACTTTTGGCCATGAGAAACATTGGTGCAAGCGAAACTTTACGCGTCACTGTGTGAATTACAACAGACAGTGAAGTTTATACTAGAGAAAACATTGTAGATATAGATGATCTTTTTCAAGAGAACAAAAGAAGAAGAAGTAATAGAGGTCATGGCAGCAGTCTGTAGATATATATTTTTGTAATGCCCATGGAATGTATTCTATTTAATTATCCACTCTGTTTATGTTCGCTGATTCCCCTTTTGATTATTGTTATATTTAGACATAGAATTAAAAATGCAGATAAATATGTGTTTTTTTAAATGTTATTAGTGACCTGTGTAATATGGTTTTTTTTTATAAGGACGTTTCGTCCAAAAATTCATAAAGATTTATGACCCATGTTTTTAAGCATTCACAGGGGGAAAGGATTAAATGAAGATGTTACAAGAAAATTTATCACATTTAATAATTCTGGATCACCACTGCCCCCGCCAATAAGGCGGATAATAATCTTCTTTAACTGTTTCATTACCTATTTTGGTATTCGGTTGAGGAAACCCTAAATAATACACCACTTCACCTCTGACAAGATACCCCGCCCACCAAGAGTATGACCCGGAAGTGATAATCATGTGATCACAGTTTATCATAATCGCTAAGTCGAGGGCGCCATCAGTTTCATGAGAGTAATGAATGTCTGAACCTTCGTCTAAGTTCGTCTCAGCCCATACTAGATCATTTGTACATATAATGAAAAGAACATGCCTATATTTCTTTCTGAAATACGCCATAGCCCTGTAATAATAAGGTATCGGAGCAACGGTGAACCCCTTGACTCGCTGCCTGACGAAATCACCCCGTCGAACATGGATGCCAATAACTGTTGCTCCCAGCAAGTTCCTTTCTTTTAAGACATTTTTAATATATTCAGTCGCTGCCTTCTGTAAACTGTCATGTAGGACAAAATGTTTGTCTCGAAGATCTTGCTTAATGTGATCATAATACTTCCACGATTGATAGTACCCAACTAAATATGCGTCTCTTCTAGGGTCAATCTTCTCGATGCCTGGATAGTACTTCGCCGCCCTTTCTTCGATATAGACTACGGGGTTTCGCAAGAGGCTTGTGTCCCCTTGCAGTGTGGGAACATTAAACACATCAAGGATGGCGATGTCCGAAGAGATGATTGGGGTCATGTTGTAGCGGTGCGCCATGGCCATGAGAGTGGCATACTCAAACATGTGATTACCCAACCTGCCTTTGTAGGTGATCATAATCCGGGACTTGCTCTGGTCAAGCATGTGTTGATGGTCAGCCCATCTTACTACAGGGCGGTGAACAGGCACCTATGTGCAACAGAGAAAAAAACAACAATATGTCAGTACTATTGTAATTGGCTCTAATATAAATGTGGTGGTTTTCCCTTATATTCCACACATCTACAGCATTAAAAAAAAAAAATTTCAAGTCCAGGACCCCTTTTATCACTCACCTTTAGGCGTAGTGGGCAAATAGCGCTAGATCTATATTTTAAGCCTAATCAGTACTAGATAAGCTATGTGGTCAACATCACGTCGGCCGCCTTTACTTCCCAGTACTTCGTCTAGTACCCATTTAAGGCTGGATCTACTGGCAGCTACAGTCTTTTTTTATTATTTTTAAAGCCAACCTCCGGTCGGATTGGAACCTACAACCTTCAGATACGAAGGTGAGTATCTAGCTGCCACATCATGGTGGCTCCCAAGTTTGTTGGACTGCCTGTATACAACCTCTCCCGTCTTCTTACTTTGTTTTATGATCTACTCCAGGGCATCTCTAATTTGAATGCAATTTTTGCCTCTCTGTTATTTCTTATCTCTGTATGCCCAATTATTGCAGCCTAATAGCCCTCAGGATGCCAGTTACTGGCAGTGATTAAAAAAAAATTTATTATTTAACGAATTCATCTCAGATGGGTTCAAAGATTTTTCATCAGACTCTGTTCTCAGCAGTTTTTTAAAAAGGCTTTGTCTAACCTCTGCTTTTAGATCTAACAAATCCAACTGAGAAAAAGTACTCACACAATATTAAGAAGTGTTTCACACTAGCAAGGATAGGCCACCTTTTACTGTGTTGTTGTAAAAGGTTAAAGTCGGGAAATGTGAACCAACATCACTGCACCAGGTATAAACCATAAGTGCTCTGCCACCAGTACCGACAGCTGATGAGAAACTGTTCGCCTGTGTCGCCGTCCGCAGGATACTCCGTAGCTACAGTGACGTTCCTCCATTTACCCCAGAGTGTTAACTCTGGTACCCATTTCCTAGAGGCTGGGAGAGCCTCGAGAACCGTCCTGTTTCGAACACCGGCTGTGGGCTGTAGTGAGTTGCCGCTGGATTTGAAAGCGAGTCTCTTATCAACTGGTTATACATAACAGCCATTGGCACTGACCAACACTGTGAAATATACTCAGTCAAATTACACAGTAGTCATCAAGTTTTGGGCTCTCCTCGTCTTGTCTCCACTACACTCGACTGGAACATTCCAAATTATACATCAAATACTAATGAAAAGTCAAAAATCTCCAATGAAATAAAATAGTACAAATAATACTGAACAAATTCACACATGCCCGCATACTCTCACTGACCAAAATGCACTGACGTGGACACGGGTTGGCGTTTAGCGGCTGGTCACATTTGGGTCTCACAATACCTGTGGAGCCGCTGATACCCGGTAATCTCAAGAAACACATGTCTCACACTTCAAGTAACATGGACCTTTTGCCCTCGTCTCTGTCATCACCATCATCATCTAGTCAAATTTCGAACACCCCCCCCCCCCCCCCCACCCCCCCCCATCTTTTTTTCCCCTTCAAATTAAACAAATACTCATCCACTGAAAAATGCTAGAAAGAAAGAAAGAAAGAAAACAACCAGAAAGGCAAACATTCTGACCTTGTTGTTTATGTACGCGACAGTGTACGTCCAGTCACTCATGTAAATCACCAGGAGACAGAAAAGGGCCAGCCCGGTTATCGTATAACATGTCAAGCCTCGCCGTATCCTCATCGTGAAATTACTGGCAGTCTTTTGTCTTATGCTGAGATCATCCTTAGATGAGATGCTAGCTTGAATCCTGTTGCTGATCCTGTTCGAGCTTAAAAATACAAGAGGGAAAAAAATTAAAGAGCTTTACAGTAAAAGATCCCATCTTATATGTCCAAGCTGCCCAGTGCGCTAGCTCAGTTGGTTAAACCAACTCTGCGGCAACCAAGTGACAAACTCCTTGTGGTCCAAATTCATGCTCAGGGGTGGGCAAAAAAGCCACAAATTTCCCGGATTTACGGTACCTATCATGGAATCAAGGTCAAAGGGTTGCTATATCCATAGTAACGAACCAAGGGGTTTACAACTCGTGATTTCTGGATTTTAAAAAATAAATTTAAAAAAATATATATATATATAATGTCAAAGTTATCAAGGTATTTATTACTCTACCTTCCTTTTGTTTAACCAATATTCCTAGTGGATTTCAAGTTTTCCCAGTCCATTCCTCTTCATACATTCATCTCCTCCCTCCCCCCTCCCCCAAATACTGACCGACTATATCTGATTTCTCTAACCAGCTTACAGTTTTCATCTGTTTCGAAGTAGACTACTTTGTTCACTTTTCTATGATTCCATGATTTCACTGAACTGAGTTTTATCTTATAATCATCTCTCCACAGATTGGCTTGCTGAATGCGTCACACAAAACACAAACTTCATCTCTCCAGAGATTGGCTTGCTGAATGCGTCACAGAAAACACAAACTTCATCTCTCCACAGATTGGCTTGCTGAATGCGTCATACAAAACACAAACTTCATCTCTCCACAGATTGGCTTGCTGAATGCGTCACAGAAAACACAAACTTCATCTCTCCACAGATTGGCTTGTTGAATGCGTCACAGAAAACACAAACTTCATCTCTCCACAGATTGGCTTGCTGAATTCGTCACAGAAAACACAAACTTCATCTCTCCACAGATTGGCTTGCTGAATGCGTCACAGAAAACACAAACTTCATCTCTCCACAGATTGGCTTGCTGAATGCGTCACAGAAAACACAAACTTCATCTCTCCACAGATTGGCTTGCTGAATGCGTCACACAAAACACAAACTTCATCTCTCCAGAGATTGGCTTGCTTAATGCGTCACAGAAAACACAAACTTCATCTCTCCAGAGATTGGCTTGCTGAATGCGTCACAGAAAACACAAACTTCATCTCTCCACAGATTGGCTTGCTGAATGCGACACACAAAACACAAACTTCATCTCTCCACAGATTGGCTTGCTGAATGCGTCACACAAAACACAAACTTCATCTCTCCACAGATTGGCTTGCTGAATGCGTCACACAAAACACAAACTTCATCTCTCCAGAGATTGGCTTGCTGAATGCGTCACAGTAAACACAAACTTCATCTCTCCAGAGATTGGCTTGCTGAATGCGTCACAGAAAACACAAACTTCATCTCTCCACAGATTGGCTTGCTGAATGCGTCACACAAAACACAAACTTCATCTCTCCACAGATTGGCTTGCTGAATGCGTCACACAAAACACAAACTTCATCTCTCCACAGATTGGCTTGCTGAATGCGTCACACAAAACACAAACTTCATCTCTCCACAGATTGGCTTGCTTAATGCGTCACACAAAACACAAACTTCATCTCTCCACAGATTGGCTTGCTTAATGCGTCACAGAAAACACAAACTTCATCTCTCCACAGATTGGCTTGCTGAATGCGTCACAGAAAACACAAACTTCATCTCTCCACAGATTGGCTTGCTGAATGCGTCACAGAAAACACAAACTTCATCTCTCCACAGATTGGCTTGCTGAATGCGTCACACAAAACACAAACTTCATCTCTCCAGAGATTGGCTTGCTTAATGCGTCACACAAAACACAAACTTCATCTCTCCAGAGATTGGCTTGCTGAATGCGTCACAGAAAACACAAACTTCATCTCTCCAGAGATTGGCTTGCTGAATGCGTCACAGAAAACACAAACTTCATCTCTCCACAGATTGGCTTGCTGAATGCGTCACACAAAACACAAACTTCATCTCTCCACAGATTGGCTTGCTGAATGCGTCACACAAAACACAAACTTCATCTCTCCAGAGATTGGCTTGCTGAATGCGTCACAGTAAACACAAACTTCATCTCTCCAGAGATTGGCTTGCTGAATGCGTCACAGAAAACACAAACTTCATCTCTCCACAGATTGGCTTGCTGAATGTGTCACAGAAAACACAAACTTCATCTCTCCACAGATTGGCTTGCTGAATGCGTCACAGAAAACACAAACTTCATCTCTCCACAGATTGGCTTGCTGAATGCGTCACACAAAACACAAACTTCATCTCTCCACAGATTGGCTTGCTGAATGCGTCACACAAAACACAAACTTCATCTCTCCACAGATTGGCTTGCTGAATGCGTCACACAAAACACAAACTTCATCTCTCCACAGATTGGCTTGCTGAATGCGTCACAGTAAACACAAACTTCATCTCTCCACAGATTGGCTTGCTGAATGCGTCACAGAAAACACAAACTTCATCTCTCCACAGATTGGCTTGCTGAATGCGTCACAGAAAACACAAACTTCATCTCTCCAAAGATTGGCTTGCTGAATGCGTCACAGAAAACACAAACTTCATCTATCCACAGATTGGCTTGCTGAATGCGTCACACAAAACACAAACTTCATCTCTCCACAGATTGGCTTGCTGAATGCGTCACACAAAACACAAACTTCATCTCTCCAGAGATTGGCTTGCTGAATGCGTCACACAAAACACAAACTTCATCTCTCCACAGATTGGCTTGCTGAATGCGTCACACAAAACACAAACTTCATCTCTCCAGAGATTGGCTTGCTGAATGCATCACAGAAAACACAAACTTCATCTCTCCACAGATTGGCTTGCTGAATGCGTCACAGAAAACACAAACTTCATCTCTCCAGAGATTGGCTTGCTGAATGCGTCACACAAAACACAAACTTCATCTCTCCACAGATTGGCTTGCTGAATGCGTCACACAAAACACAAACTTCATCTCTCCACAGATTGGCTTGCTGAATGCGTCACACAAAACACAAACTTCATCTCTCCACAGATTGGCTTGCTGAATGCGTCACACAAAACACAAACTTCATCTCTCCACAGATTGGCTTGCTGAATGCGTCACACAAAACACAAACTTCATCTCTCCACAGATTGGCTTGCTGAATGCGTCACACAAAACACAAACTTCATCTCTCCACAGATTGGCTTGCTGAATGCGTCACACAAAACACAAACTTCATCTCTCCACAGATTGGCTTGCTGAATGCGTCACACAAAACACAAACTTCATCTCTCCACAGATTGGCTTGCTGAATGCGTCACACAAAACACAAACTTCATCTCTCCACAGATTGGCTTGCTGAATGCGTCACACAAAACACAAACTTCATCTCTCCACAGATTGGATTGCTGAATGCGTCACACAAAACACAAACTTCATCTCTCCACAGATTGGCTTGCTGAATGTGTCACACAAAATACAAACTTCATCTCTCCAGAGATTGGCTTGCTGAATGCGTCACACAAAATACAAACTTCATCTCTCCACAGATTGGCTTGCTGAATGCGTCACAGAAAACACAAACTTCATCTCTCCACAGATTGGCTTGCTTAATGCGTCACACAAAATACAAACTTCATCTCTCCAGAGATTGGCTTGCTGAATGCGTCACAGAAAACACAAACTTCATCTCTCCACAGATTGGCTTGCTGAATGCGTCACACAAAACACAAACTTCATCTCTCCAGAGATTGGCTTGCTGAATGCGTCACAGAAAACACAAACTTCATCTCTCCAGAGATTGGCTTGCTGAATGCGTCACAGAAAACACAAACTTCATCTCTCCACAGATTGGCTTGCTGAATGCGTCACAGAAAACACAAACTTCATCTCTTCACAGATTGGCTTGCTGAATGCGTCACAGAAAACACAAACTTCATCTCTCCACAGATTGGCTTGCTGAATGCGTCACACAAAACATAAACTTCATCTCTCCACAGATTGGCTTGCTGAATGCGTCACACAAAATACAAACTTCATCGCTCCAGAGATCTCTTAAAAAAAATTGCCCTAGCGAACTATAATAATGCATCCTGCTATGCAAATATGACATTCAGAGCCCGAGACAAACAATTTGAATGATTGATATGGAGGTATCACAAGTAAATATTGGATCTTCACAAGGGCATTATAATGTGTAAAAGTAAAAAGTAATGGAAAAAAAGACCGACGAAAGCATAGATAGGGGGTAGGGGGGAATAGCCCCACTAACAAGCAAGTCCTAAAAGTTGACTAGCTAGGGGTATTTTCTTTGAAGTTAGAGTGCATCTGCCTGAAAGGAGAGGAAAATGGCGTGGAAAAGGGTCCTTTACTTTACTTACTTATGTTGAGCGCAGAGTGGTGGGGGTAATCTGAGCATCTATGGACGTTCTCGAGTGCTGTGAAGATAACCCAGCTCTTAACTCATGAACTAAACTACCACCAGCGGTAGCATTATGTTTTCGGCTATCTTCCAAATAACGGTCCCAAATTAACGAGGCCGAAAATATACCCTAACAGGGCCTCAGTCACATGTCAATTGTGGACTTCCATTGACCTAAATTGCGCACTTCCGGCGACTACTGCCACCGCCGAGAGTATCTCCAACACCGCTATACACGGCGTAGATTGGGGCTAAACTAGATGGCTGGGACTCACGAGCAGCAGCTACCGCATCTCCTGCAGCTTCCTTTATTTTATTTGCTCATGAGTCTCAGCCATCTAGTTTAGTCCCAATCCACACTGTGCGTAGCAGCGTGGGAGATACTCTTGGCAGTGGCGGAAGTTCGCAATTGACATGTGACTGAGGCCCTATTAATGTATATTTTCGGCCTCAATAATTAGGAACCGTTATTCGGAAGATAGCCATGTTTTCTTTTCTTCACAGACCACTGGATGACAAGATGTGCCATAAATCAAAGTGACAATAAGTTTGAATAAGCTGTTACGGGTAAAAGACTGTTAATCGTACAATCAGAACT